CACCCGTGTCGCTGCCTTCGCAGACTGGCTCAGCCTGCAGATGGACTGTGAGTGCCACCAGCTGCGTCGGGGGGCACGGCAATGCCCAGGGTAGGGGGGTTCTGCACCTCATGGCAACCCTGGTGCCCTTGCAGCTGCCCCCGGCAGCCGAGAACCGAGCTGCTTCGAGCTGCTGGCCCTGGCCCAGCTGCCCTCCGAGCAGCAGCCCCATGAGCGTGCCCGCCTCTGCGCCTTCTATGCTGCATCCTGCCGGGCCCCGAAGGGCCGGGCCGCCTGTGCCCACCTGGCCGAGGAGACGTGCCATGCCAGGATGAGACGATGTGGTGAGCCAGGGCGGTCGTGCTGGGGTGAGGGTGCAGGGAGGGACCCCGTTTCTGGTGGTATAGGTCCGGTGTGGTGCCGTAGCCATGGGTCTCCTGCTGCACCTGCAGAGCTGCACTCCTACGCCCAGACCTTGGTGGATCTCCTGCGCCGGGCTGGGGACTTCATCCGAAACCAGTTTGACTTCTCCTTCTTCACTCGTACTCTGCCCCAGCTCCTGGACAAGATCTATGGGCATCTCTTCCCACCTCGTGTCCGCAGGGATGCCCCAGGTACCCTCCTGGGCTAGGCCACCCCAAGTCTGCTTGGGGTCCCATTGATCCCCCTCCAAACTGGTGACTGGGGCACCAGCAGCCTGACCTGATGCCCCCACAATCCTCCCTTACCCCTTGTCCCTCCTGTCCCCTTCTTGTCCCCACAGGTCCAGCTGTGGCAAGGACCCAGCCCAGCTCCACGGCAGAGGGATCCCGGAGACCACCTACCAGGTGAGAGGGGATGCAAAAGCACAGTGAGCCAGGGAGCATCAGGAGGGGGCTAATGGGTTTGGGGGCAAGATGCCCCTGGGTGCCCAGGGCCACCCAGGCCCCACCACGGGAGCACAGGGTGGCACTGCCCAGGGGATAGGTGCCTCTGCCTGAGCTTGTCCCGCTGTGCTTGCAGGAAGGGGGCTGGGTGGCCGCCCCCCTTCGCAGGGCTCTTCAGGGCTGTGGGACCCCGGCTGCAGGACTGGGTGGAGGCACTGAGGGCCATGGTGGGGGGCAGCCCCCCGGCACCCACCCCGGATGAGGGCCAGCTTCCCGGGGAGATGTGGCTCTTCCTCCAGGTATTAGGGGAGGGACGGGCTGGGGGGGACCCCTGCCCCTCTGGTGACAGTGCCACCAGGGACCAAAGCCCAGCAGTTCCCCCATGTCCCCTCCTGACACCCCTTGGCCCCATCATGCCCTGTGCAATCATGGAGGTGGCACCTCCTTCTCTGCCACCACAGAGAAGGCATCGCACCCTTCCCAGCGGAAACCAGTGCTCCCAGTCCAACCAATGAGGCTGACCCCGCAGCTTAGGATCTGACCAACCATAGCTATAAAGACCTTGTGTGTCCTCAGTGCCACATCTGACACCAACCTGCACTCCACCACCATGCATCTGGCCATGCCCATGGGTGCCCCCTGGGTACCCCATTGCCCACCCTGTCCTCCCTTCTCCTCAGCAGGGCGAGGAGATGGTGGAGGAGCTGGTGAGACAGGGACGAGCCTTCCTCACCCAACTGCGGGCAGAGCTGGCCCTCAACACCCTCCCCGAAGCCACAGAGCCACAACGGGCACCTGGAGAGCTGGCAGGGACCCCCACGCCGAACCGTGAGCCTGGGGGGACGGGACAGGGGGGTGTCCATCCGCCGGCCTGCTCTGGGCCTGGGCAGTGCCCACTGGCCATGTCCGCAGTGGGATTTTTCACACCTCTCTTGGTGGCAGGGCCTGTACTGAGGGAGAAACGTGAACTGGTGCCCACAGAGCTGCTGGGGGTGGAGGAAGAGGAGGAGGAGGAGGCAGGCATTGGCAGAGGTAAGTGACCCACATCCCCCGGCCACTGCAGAGTACCATGTGCCACCATGGGGACAGCGGCAAGGCTGGCCTCTACTTCACACCCCGGTTCCAGGGCTGGATGGCCCATGTCAGTAAGACAGCCCTCGGCCATACCCTGCTTCCACACAGACCCTCTGCCCTTGCCGGCATCTCCAGAGCATGGGTGCTCCTCCTGGGGGTGGGCAGCAGCATGGTGCCCCTGTGCTTCATCCCTGATGTCCCCCCCCTCCATCTCTCTCCTGCCTGTCCCCGGGGTTGCAGCCTGCCCCGGCCTCAACGAGTCGACAGCGCGAGTGGGCGCAGTGCGGGACCTGTACACATGGGTGCTGCAGGTGCCTGAGACAGAGCTGGCCATGACCTTCCAGGAGGTGAGAGACCCATCCAGCTACCCCGAGCCCCCCACCATGGCACCCTTCTACTGTGCCCCCACCTCCCCAGGGACTCACAGCCTTGTCGTCTTCCCACAGATCCTGGTGGACTTGGGCTCCAAAAACGCCAAGGGGCTGTACCGGGCGCAGGTGCGGGCCATGGTGGGGGGTCGGTCCACGGTGTTCACTGGCCTGGTGGGGCTGGAGAGCGACTCGCTGGCCCGCAGCATGCCTGGCCTCGTTGCTCTGGCGCTCGAGGCGCTGAAAACCTAACGGTGTCCTCGGGACACCACAGAGCATGGGGATGGAGTGCTGGGACAGAGGTCTCTCATGTACTTCAAGCACAGCCCCTTCCCCAGCTCAGGCTCTTCCACCCTTTTGTTCCCCCATCGTGCCTCAGTTTACCTCTTCCCACCAGCATTGCCCGACCTCCCCATGGCAGCGGGACACCAGGGGGGGCACCTGGAGCTTCTCAGCTGGAGATAGCCCTCATCTCCCCTAGGACCCCCATCTGGGCAAGCGCCCCTCCGCCCCATTTTCCCCAGAGGCACCCAGGCTGTTATTTATTTGTACAGAGAAAGGTTTATTTTTCAATAAAAAAGGACTCTATTTTCCAGTAGCTGGCAAGTCTGAAGCGACTGCTGTGCCCCATGATGCCAGCAGGGACACTTTCCATGGGGAATATGACATTCCCTCACATCCCCTTTCCCATCCTCCCCATACCCCAAAGTGATGCCCTCCAGCCCCAGTTTCTGCCCCTGGCATTGGTGCTGTGCCCAGCCCAGCACAGACTTCCCCAGTACACCCCCCAACATGGGGATCAGGCACCCCTCCTGCCCACCCTGCACTCATAGCACAGCACCGGTGCCCACCCTGGTGCCACCCCATTGAGGACCCACACAAAACCTCCTACCAGTGCAGACTGGCGAGTGCCAGGGTGTTGCCACCTCCATGCTTGGACATCGCTGGGTACCAACCCCTGCCTCCCACCCCCCAGCAACATCGCAGTGGGAAAGGAACTGCTTGTCCCAGTGCCCAGCGATGCCTGTGCTGGGGTGCCCAGGCGCAGGGTGATGGGCTGACACCCGTGGGGCCGGGGAGGCCAGCTGTGCCTGCCCATCTCCCCTTCTCTGGGTGCGGGGGGTGCCGGAAGAGAAGGGTGGGAGTGGGTATCTGATGCCGGCACCCTTCCCCCTCGGCACCTGGCACCATCCATCTTCCG